GGGGCCTTGAAGCCTTGAAGCCTTGAAGCCCAGGGGCCAGGCCACCAGTTCTGGGTGGAGTCCGTGGCCTGGAGTAAGAACTTCCAGAGCTTTTTACGGGCCCGCCCACGGCACTTCCTCCCTTCTCAGCCCCTAAAAGCCCCAGACTCAGTCAGACTCACAGAGATGTTAGGACTATCAGCTGCAGGAAGGAGCTACCCACTTTGGGTCCCTTCAACTCACCAGGATGACCTGCCTGTGGAAAGGAGCTACCCACTGCGAGTCTCCTCTCTGCTGAGATCTGGACACTCATTGGGATGACCTGCCTGTGGAAAGGAGCTAGCCACTTCGGGTCTCCTGAGAGCTGTTCTGCTGCTCAGTAAAGCCCCTCTCCACCTTGCTCACCCTCCAGTTTTCCGTGTACCTCATTCTTCCTGGACACTGGATAAGAACTCGGGACCTGCCGAACGGAGGAACTGAAAGAGCTATAACACAAACAGCACTGAAACATGGCCTCCTGCTTGCCATGTTGTGAGCAACGAGCAGAAGAGAACCCCCAAGCCAGGGCTATGACACCCTCTTTGGGGCTTTGCAGTTCCTGACATCTCCACTCTTCTGGTGCCACCTTGTTCCCCTCATCCAGATGCAGGTTCCCACAGCAGAAGCTTAATGCAGGACATCTGGTCCAGCTGTAGTCTTGCACAGAACCAGCACCTGTGCCAGTGCCTGGAGCTGTCCACTCTGCTACAGCAGCCGGGTATGCAAGGTGGCTGGACCACATGCTCACACACCCACACATCCCTCACAACTCCACACCTGGCTCGTCCTTGGCAGGTGTGGGATCCAGGCTTGTAGTGTGAGCCAAGCACAGCATGCCAAGCCAAGTGGGCGGAACAAGCCCAGTGGGCATGGGCAGTACTCAGGCAGAAGGTGCCACCGGTCAACGTGATTTCTGGCTGGTGAAGCGACACCCCAAGGATCCTGTGACACTATTAGTAGTTAAGTTTTGGGGAGTCAAAAGTTATACACAAATTTTCAACTGCAAAGGAGATGGGCACTCCTCACCCCGCACTGTTCAGGGGCAACTGTATATGAGAGGACATGCATAGGTTATATGCAAATATTACACCATTTTATGTAAGAGACAGGCTCCACAGATTTTGGTATCTTGGGGGAATCCTGGAACCATTCCCCACAGATATGGAGGGACTACTACATATTAGGAGGTACCTAATAATATAAATAATAAAAAAAGTATTTTTTTGAGTCAACACTCCCAATCTATCTCAGCTGTGCTCATCTGCCCACATGCTATAAAAGATGCTTTTATTCACAAATACGGGATTTTGCAGAAGGGGCTCAGGGAGGCCTTCCTTTCTGTCCACCACCTTCCCATACCACATTAACCCTGAAAATTATCTCCATATATATCCCAGCAACTCAATTCCTCCCAGACTTTCCTTTGCTTGCCTAGAATTCTAGTTCTAAAACACCTCCTTCCCAAACTTCTGTCTTCCAATGTGTCACTTAAAATCAAGGCAAGGACCAAGAACCAACTCTGCCAAAGCTAGCTGCTTCGGAACCAGACCTGTACTGCAGGAGCTCAAATGGCCCAAGGGACTTATGACGGGGAACTCTGAAATAAGGGACCTATATCTCAGCATTACATAATGAAATTCAATGGATTGGAAGTCAGACTTACACATATGGCCTGACCATCTGTCCAGAATTTGTGGGGGAGGGGGAAATTACAGGAACACTGGCTATTTTCCTGGGTTTACATATTTTCAAGTGATTTTAAAAAGACAAAGGAGGATGGGTAGATGTTGTCCTATAGCTAAAAAGTTCCAATAAGGCCAGGAACGGTGGCTTATGCCTATAATCCCAGCACTCTGGAAGGCTGAGGTGGGACAATCGCTTGAAGCCAGGAGTTTGAGAACAGCTTGGGAAACAAAGGAAGACCCATCTCTACAAAAAAATTTTTTGAATTAGCCAGGCATGGTAGCATGTGCCTATATTCCCAGCCACCTGGGAGACTGAAATGGGCGAATCATTTAAGCCCAGGAGTTCAGAAGCTGCAGTGAGCTATGCTCACACCACTGCACTCCAGCTTGGGTGATGGAGCAATACTCTATCTGTAAAGAAAAATTTTTTTAAAAAACACTTTTTTTCTTAAAGTTCCAATGAGCCAATAAGCTGGCTCTTGGGTCACAAAGAACTGGTTTGTCATCTCAGCTCTCTTTACGCTTTCGTTTTCCAGCACATTACACTAAGAATATAAGTTTTGTATTTCTGCTATGAAACTGTCTTGTGCTATACCAAGAGGAAATATTTTTACAGCTAATGTTGCTGAAAAGTTACATTTGGTATTCTTTCTTTTGCTCAGATCTACTAAGAAAAGAGAACTTATTTTGTGACAAGCATTAAACAGTCCTAATTCAGCATTTAGTGAAAGTTAACTGCCGGTTAAGCAGAGATGAAATAACAAAAACTGCCTTCACACACGGACTCGCACCCAAATAAACAGAATGCACTGTTATAGGAAGAAAGGTACAATATGGACAGGGGGAGGGAAATAGGAGGACACAAACAGAGGGGCTGTGACCTTCTCACACTGTGACATAATCACATGTGACACAGCACAAGGGACAGAGTAGGCTCCTCTCCCTTAGCCCATGAAGGACAGGGGGACACAGGACCAAGACTTGGACACAGGACCAAGACACAGGACCAATCACAGGCCTTGCAAAGAAATGGAAACTGTATGACATAACTTCCCTTCACTAATACCTAGAAATAGATTTGGGAGAGAAAAGAGAACAAAGAAAGACGTGCACTGACACTCATGTGGAAATTAAAAAAAATCCTAGGTCCGTACTCCAAAAACACTTGCGAAACTCAAATTCAATACAGCTATAAATTATCATGAATTCTGACTCCATGAAGTCCAAGTTCATGAGATATTTACTGTAACAACATAAAACAAAATGCCCACAAAAGAGATTTATAAATATTCTATGAACATATCTGTCCTCAATTTACCACCAGACTTAGAAGAAAGAGCAATCTTTGGAAACAAGACAAAGTAGGATTACCCTCAATTGTATGATTTCTAAACTGTGAAACATGCACCAAGATCTACAAGTTACAAACTGACATATTACAAGTAATATAATCTCTCTAGAGCTCGGTTTTCTGCTCATTAAAATGAGAAAAATGGCACCAAATAATCATTGCTAACAATTTTGAGTGAACACCTTACGCGTATCTCACAGCATCTTCGTTAATAACCCCATAAGGGAGATTCTATAACAACCCCCTTTGTCAGATTTTTTTAAAAAAAGCTTTCAATAGATTAAATAATTTAAGATCAAGGAGTTAGGAAATATAATACCTAGCTAAACCAATATCTGAATCCAGAACCCATGAGAATAAGATACAGCTATCCCCACTTATCTACAGGGGATACACTTCTAGATCCCCCAGTAGATGCCTGAAACTAGGGACTGTACTTGGTGCTATATATACTATGTTTTTCCTATACATACATACCTACAATAAGGTTTAATTTATAAATTAGGGACTGTAAGAGATTAACAAGAATAATGTAATAAAATAGAACAATTATAACAAAATGCCAGCATCACTACTACCCCTCCATTTGGGGGCCATGATGAAATACACTAAGGGTTACTTGAACACAAGCACTGTCATTCCTTGACAGCTGACCTAACTGAGATGGCTACTAAGTGACTAACAGGCGCAGCATACACCGTGTGGTGAATATGCTGGACAAAGGGACGATTCACATCCCAGGTGGGACAGGGCAGGACAGATCAGGATGCACGAGATTTCATCAGGCTACTCAGAATGGTGCACAATTTAAAACTTATAAATTGTTTACTTCTGGAATCTTCTAGTTAGTATTTTTGGACTGCAGCTAACATTGGGTAACAAACTACAAAAAGCAAAACCACACACTTGTGGGAGGGAACTGCTCTACCAGTCAAGAGCACAACACTGTGAAGCCAGAATGAGTCTGAATCCCAGCTTTGCCATTTACTAATTTAGTAATCTCTTTTTCTGAGATGGACTCTTGCTCTGTCACGCGGCCTGGAGTACAGTGGCGCGATCCTGGCTCACTGCAGCCTCAAATTCCTGTGATCCAGGCATGCATCACCACACCTGACAATTTTTGGTTTTTGCTTTTTGTTTTTATGTCTTTTTCAGAGAGACAAGGTCTTGTTGTTATCCAGGCTGGTCTCAAATTTTTTTTTTTGGAGACAGTCTTGCTCTGGATGGAGTGCAGTGGCGCGATCTCGGCTCACTGTAACCTCCACCTCCTCCTATGGAGGTTCAAGGAATTCTCCTGCCTCAGTCTCCCAAGTAGCTGCGATTACAACAGCTGGTGCAACACCATGTCTGGCTAATTTTTGTATGTTTAGCAGAGATGGGGTTTCGCCATGTTGGCCAGGCTGGTCTCGAATTCCTGACCTCAAGTGATCCACCTGCCTCAGACTCTCAAAGTGCTGCAATTACAGGCGTGAAACACCGCACCCAACCACTTGGTCTCAAACTCCTGAACTCAAGCGATCCTCCTGTCTCAGCCTCCCAGAGTGCCGGGATTACAAGCATGAGCCACTGTGTCCGGCCCTAACTTAGTAACCTCTAACCTCTCTGTAGTTTGGTTTATGCGAATGTGAAATAGGGAAGAACAGTAAACCTTACTTATAAAGTTATTGTGAGGATTCAATTAGTAATTGTAACTTAGAGTGTTTATAATGTACCAGACACTATTCTAAGCACGTTATTATTAACCATTATTATACTATCTCAGAAAAAAATATATAAAGTATCTACACATAATAGGCACTAAACGATTTCTATTTCTTCCCTAACCCACTCTGCAAAATCAACTACCTTTTGTTTATTTCCATTGTACGACAAAGAGACACTAAGGCGAAAGAAAAAACAAAACCAAAAATCTCAAGACACAAGTATAGCAAGAGAATTATACTCACAGTTCAGAAGGCCACAATAACTCTGAAGAAATCAAATGACAATTTAAAAAACAATTCTAATTTCTCTTTCCTCTTTCCATTGCAAAGAGAACCTGAAAGACAAGAGATATATATATATACATAATAATATATTTATATATGAGATACATATAAAACCACCATTATTTCACTAGTTTTTTTCAAGGTTTTATTGTACTGTCCACCTTACAGTCAGCTTCTTCACTGCTTACCATACATACTGTACTGGACCTTGAATGAAGAATAACAAATTTGGAAAAGCCCTGTCTTCAAACCCATATTTTAGTTGAAGGAAATATACATGAAATAACTAAGAACCATTAAAACATCAACAGGCATAATTAATCTGACATAAAGTTAGCTAACAAATTCAGAGGAAGATGGCAAACAGAATATACATATCTATTTCACTTCCACTAAAATTATACAAAAGAGATAGATACAGTTTGGCTGTGTCCCCACTCAAATCTTGAATCGTAGCTCCCATAATTCCCATGTGTTGTGGGAGGGACCTGGTGGGAGGTAACTGAACCATGGGGGCAGGTCTTTCCCACGCTCTTCTCATGATAGCAAGTAAGTCTCACAAGATCTGAGGGTTTTATAAAGGGGAGTTCCCCTGCACACACTCTCTCTTGCCTGCTGCCGTGTGTAAGACATGTCTTGCTTCCCCTTCACTTTCTGCCATGATTGTAAGGCCTCCCCAGCCGTGTGGGACTGTGAATTCAATTAAACCTCTTTCCTTTATAAATTACCCAGTCCCAAGTATGTCTTTATTAGCAGTATGAGAACAAACTAATACAGACATATTAAAAAGATAAATTTAAAAAGCAAACCCACGGGCCAGGGAGAAATGAAAGAAAAAGTAACAGAATTTTTGAAGCTACAAGAAAAGCCTCTAACACCGAAGACAGAAACCAAACAAACAAGAAAACAGAAAAACTTAGAGGAAACAAACTATAAAAGATTGGAAGCACAGCAAATGACTCAGCAGGCCCAATGCAGCCAGACCAAGCCAGCAGCCAAAAACACTAAGAACCAATTCCATTTCCACAGCCATGTCGGGAGAAGGTTCAGAACTGGCAGCACTAAATGCAGACAGAACAAGGGGTAAAGAAGGAGGAGGCAAAAAGGATGGTGGAGGTTGGGTGAAGACTATCTACGATGCAGCTGAAGTCTCAACACCACGCCTTCATGGGACTCCCCAACCATGACAGAAGACTGGGGGCTCTCTGGAAAAGGAGAGCATCCTTAGACAAAAGCCACCCTGCCCAACTGTACAAAACAGAGGTCGATCTAGTCACTGAACACACATTTCAGCTCCTCCACCACCCTCTATGCACTCTCCTGCCAAACTTCAGAGAGTCAGGTCTTTACCCTGCAGGAACCTGATAAGTCTAAGAAGAAAGATCTAAAGATACCAACACTGGGGATTTCCCAACAAATGGGCCATCCAGAATATCCTGATGCAAAAGTCAGAGTCAAAAGGCTGAACCCACTTACTAAAGCTTCCGAAGAATTTTTTTGATTCACCACAAGGAAATGAATACCAGACATGTGAGAAAATTCTGTAACACAATAGATAGAGAACACGGGAGGGCGGGGAAGCGGGGAAGGAAAAAAAAGCCACTTGGGGGAAACAACACATTACTCATGTGTTTTAGTGAAGCTGGGGAAAACAGACCTACTGTGCTGCCAGTCGTTTAAAAGTATAGCACATACGATTACGTACAGTACATAACACTTGATAAACAACTATGCTACTGACTTATTTATTTACTGTGCACTTTTAATTATCACTGTAGAGTACACGACTTCTACTTATTTAAAAACAACAACAACAACTGTAAAACGGCTCAGGCAGGTCCTTCGGGAGGTATTCCAGAAGGCACTGTTAACCTAGGAGATGACAGTTCCATATGTGTTATTGCCCCTAAAGACTTTCCAGTGGGACAAGATACGAAGGTGGAAGATATTGATATTGATGATCCTGACCTTGTGTGGGTCTACCCTAATGTGTGTATTTGTGTCTTCATTTTAACAAAAAAGTTTAAAAACGATAAATTAGGCCAGGCACTGTGGCTCACACCTGTAATCCTAGCACTTTGGGAGGCTGAGGTGGGCAGATCACCTGAGGTCAGAAGTTCAAGGCCAGCCTGACCAACATGGAGAAACCCTGTCTCTACCACAAACATAAAATTAGCCAGGCATGGTGACACATGCCTGTAGTCCCTGCTACTCCGGAGGCTGAGGCAGGAGAATCGCTTGAACCCGGGAGGTGGAGGTTGCAGTGAGCCGAGATCATGCCATTGCACTCCAGCCTGGGCAACAAGAGCAAAACTCCATCTCAAAAACAAACAAACAAATGATAAATTAAAATTTTTTAAAAATACAGAAAAGCTCATAGAATATGGATATAAAGAAAATAGTGGCTAGGTGCAGTGCCTCGCTCCTATAATCCCGGCACTTTGGGAGGCCGAGGCAGGTGGATTGCTTGAGTCTAGAAGTTTGAGACTAGCCTGGGCAACATGGTGAAACCCTATCTCTACAGAAAAAAATAGAAAAAATTAGCTGGGCATGGTGGCACACGCATGCAGTCCCAGCTACTTGGGAGGCTGAGGTGGGAGGATCACTTGAGCCTGGGAAGGGGAGGTTGCAGTGAACTGAGATAGTGAGCAAGACCCTGTATTAAAAGAAATATATATACATATATAATTGTATTGCCATACAATGTGTCTCTGTTGTAAGTTAAGTATTATTACAAGAGTCAAAAGTTTAGAAACATTTAAAAGTTTATGAAGTTACAGTAAGCTACGATTATTACTAAAGAAAAATATTTTTATAAACAGTGTAGCTGAAGTGTACAGTGTTTATAAAATCTACAGTAGTGTACAGTGATAATCTAGGCCTTCACATTCACTCACCACGCACTCACTGACTCACCCAGAGCAGCTTTCAGTCCTGCAAGCTCCATTCCATTCATGCATGTAAGAGCCCTATAGGAGACATATTTTTTAATCTTTTATATCATATCCTTATTGTACCTTTTCTATGTTTAGATACACACATACTTACCACTGTGTTACAACTGCCTACAATATTCAGTACAGTAACATGCTGTACAGTTTTGCAGTCTAGGAGCAATAGGCTATACCTTATAGCCCAGGCATGCAGTAGGCTACCATCTAAATTTGCTGAGTACACTCCATGACGTTTGTACAACAATGAAATCACCTAATGCATTTCCTGTCGTTAAGTAACTCATATATAAAAATCAAAAACAGAATTACAAAACGAAAAAGACAAATCCACAGTGATAGATTTTATTTCATCTATCACTCATGAAATAGCAGTTCAAAGTCTCTTGTCCATCCTGCTAATGAGTGAACTACCTTTTTCTTGACATGTTACGTATTTTTTATGTAAACTCTGTTAGAACTAAGATTTACCAGTATCTTCTCCCACTCTGTAATTTGCCTTTCACTCTCCTAATAATTTTTTGTTTTTGAGATAATGCCTGTAGGCCAGAGTACAGTGGTGTGATCATGCCTCACTGCAGCATCAACCTCCTGGGCTCAAGCAATCCTCCTGCTGTGGCATCCCAAAGTTCTAGGATTACAAAAGCCACGCGAAGCCTAATAATGTCTCTTGAGGAATATGATGTCTTAACTTTAATGTAGCACAATTCATCGATTTTTCTTTTATGGTTGCTTTTTGTGTCCAGAGATGATAAGAGGTTATCCATCATTATCCTCTAAAATTATGCTCTCCAACACAGTACCCACTGGCCACGTGCTAAGGAGCACTTGAAACATAACTAGGCCAAACTGAGATGTAAGTGTAAAACACACATTGAATTGCTAAAACTATGGTATCCTCACCCCCCAAAATAAAATATACTAATAATTTTTAAATTACTCGCAAATTAAAATGTCTTTGAGCATTACTGGGTTAAATACAAAATATTATTAATTTATCTGTTTTTCCTGTTTAAATTTGGCTTCTAGAAAAATTTAAAATCACATGTGGCTCACAATATATTTCTATTAAACGCCGTTATACCAGTTTTATTTAATCTTTTCATATCTATAAATCCACTTGAAATTTTTTATTGTGTGAAGCAAATTATTATTTTTCCCTATACGGATACCCAAATGACCCAGCACCATTTACCAAAAAAGTGTCTCTTCCCTGTTGCTCTACAGTGTCAGTTTGTCACAGATCAATTGTCACAAAAGAATATATACCATATAATTCTATTCCTATAAAGTTTAAAACTATACAAAAGTTAATCCTAATGTTTAGAGACACTTAATATGGAGTAAAATTATTTTTTTAATGGAAATGACTGTCACAGAAGATGATGGGAAAGGGAATAAAAGGCTGGCAATCATTTTTTACCTGAATGTGGTTACACACATACATATTTTTTAAACAAAAGTAGGCCAGGAACGGTGGCTCACACCTGTAATCCCAGCACTTTGGGAGGCCAAGGCAGGCGGATCACGAGGTCAGGAGATTGAGACTATCCTGGCTAACACGGTGAAACTCCGTCTCCACTGGAAAAAAAAAAAAAATTAGCCGGGCGTGGTGGCGGCGCCTGTAGTCCCGTCTACTCGGGAGGCTGAGGCGAGAGAATGGCTTGAACCCGGGAGGCGGAGCTTGCAGTGAGCGGAGATCGCACCACTGCACTCCAGCCTGGGCAACTGAGGCAGACTCCGTCAAAAAAAAAAAAAAAACCCCACAGAATGTCCACCCTCCTTTGTAACATTCTCACTCATGGCAATCCTACAAACTTCCTGGCCCTTGTAGGTCCCCCCACCCAACCTACCTAGGCTTCCTCTGCTTGCCCTTTAAGGACTCTCCTGGGGACCCTATTCTTTGTGTTAAGTATATTCCCTTTGCAGTGCAAAGGCAGCCATAGACAATATATAAACAATTTGAATGCATCCCAATAAATACATATTTACAAAAGCAGATTTGGCCCATGTGCTATAGTTTCCTGAGCCCTATAACAGACCACTGATACCAATATGCATGAACCTTAAGGCCTTGCCTCTCCCTCTAATACAGCCTA